TTGAACGAGTTAATACAATAAAGCGGCGTTTTCGGCATTCGGCGTTTCAATTCGGTCGAATATAAAAGACGTCGAACAATAAACGCTGATTTTTTCCTAACAATTAGAAAACAACCTACATCTTACATGTTCATTTTGTTCTTTACGAATATAATGAATCATTAGACAGCAAAGCAAAGAACTCTAATATTTTCAATTATGGTATGAAAGAAAAATTTAACAGTTATATTACAGAAACTGATAAAACGAATAACATAATTGAAATACAAAACAATAGTGGACTCGAACAATTCGTTAAATCGATCAAATATCGTTCCTTTAGTTCGAGTTTTCACGAGTGCACTGTGCTACGGCTTTCCGCTCCGTGCCAGTGGGGTTGACTAGAGTATCAAAAAATGCTACCACGCAGTTGTTGTTGAACATGTAATCGCGGTACACTATTCATCTATATCAGTTTTTTTGTGTAAACACATTTTTTTGAGGTCGTTGAGTAAAATACCAATACCGGACGAAGCAAGCTAAAATTGAAACTACTTCTAGGAATATTCATTGCAAGGCGAAACTTAATTTTTGTAGAATTTTACTCTTCTCCTTCTTTTCAATTATTTGTGTCAAATTCAATTCTACTGAAGGCAGCTGATACCCGTAATCATATAAGACGATCGGATAAAAAGGGAAAGCAAATAATACTTCYGATTAATTATTTTGATCATATTAAAATATTTTGAGCGTAATTGTTTGGAAAGTTTTTATGCGGTCAACATTTTTTTTAATTTGTCAATGTTATGCAACAGACGGTGAAATTTGGCAGTGAACTTTAGTCTGAAAGCTTCTCGTGGAAAGTTTGGCCTAATATTACTGTCTTGCAGTTTGTATAAATTAATATGGAAACTGACGGCGTATCTGCTTTTGCCGCATGATAAAAGTTGTAATAGCTGATCAAAAAAACCTCTAAACTTTTTTAATGCGTTAATTAACCGAAGATTTTTTCTCACCGGCAAATCTTTCTTTTTTCATTTTTTCAGAAAAATTTATTTCGCTTATTCCTTTGATTTGCTTTACTAGACTTAACATTACTATAATGAAATCTTTTTGGGTTTTTAATTTCATATGATTCAGTTCAGAGATACAGTGCTCACCGCAAAWCGTCTTTTTTGAGAGGAGCTCCCGGAGATCAGCTRTAGTTCCTTTACAAATGAATATTTTACTAATAMTAAGTCTTAGAATCCAGTTCAAAGATATGCTTTCTCGCAAAACTTTTTTTCGGTCTTCTAACTGTATGTAACTCGTTAAAATATATCGACATACCTTTCTCACATACCCACGTGTAGTATAGATGTGTATTCGCATGTATGTGTGTATACTCGTATATAAACTAAATAAACAAAATAAAAAGAGCGCAATTTGTGTTTCAAAATGAAATTTTTATTTATTATAGAAAATTAAATGAAATTAATAATTACAAGCAAAAAACTTTATGATGTAAAATCTACGAGTTACTAAATACTATAATGTGATATAAAATTTTACAATTAGTGCATAGTTTCACACATGATATCCATTCGGTAATTGCGAAAAAAACAGAAACAAAAAAAAATAATATCAGTGTTTTCTCCACTTATATAAAGAGAGTAAATGACAAAGAAGGAAACCGCTGATCGTGTTATTAGTTTCAATGTGATTATGCCACTTTATTTACTTATCAATTAGTGCTACATAAAATTWAAATTTTGCGAATTTTGCTGGAAGTGTAATTTTTGAAGCACACAAATTGTGAGACGCCACGAGAGCTTTAGAAAGCTTTTTYAAAGTTTATAAATAGCATAGGCTAGCAGAACTTAAAAAAAAAAAGAGTAATATTGAAATATATGCAACGCTTATAAGAAATTGAGATGCCAGAGATGTGGCGCAAAATTTTGGTATTTTTTGTCAGTGTTTTCGCAAGCGTCTCGTGATACCTCAGTGCTGTTTTCGCGACATTAAAGCAGCATTATWGGCGCCGCACACCAGAATTTTCAACGATTGCTCTGCTTGTTTTCTTAATTTTTCGGAAAGTACAATACCTRAAGGCATACGGTTTCCACGATTTATATTTTGAAATTTTCAACAGTTCTTATGCAACAAATTATTAKTTTAGACTTAAAGTGATTTGTAAGCATTACGAAACTTAAGGTATTTAATACGAAAAGGCCATTTCTTGAAGATGTCTCCTTAAATCGAATTTAGTCTAACTAAAGTAAACAGTTACGTATATGAAACAGCATTCACGTGGCTGTGAATTTTTCGCTCATTCACTTGCTACATTTTCTTTACTTTGTTTTAAACAATATTTGCACTTTTGTTGTTGTAGTTACAAGAACATTAAAATAAGTAGACAAATGAAAATATCTATAAACTAAAGTTAAATATAAAACTGTGTTTTCCTCTTTTTGTTTTTGTGTTTTTTCTTGTTTTTTTTTTTGTTTCTTTTCTATATCTATCGCATCTCAGCCTATGACAATTTGAACTTTTTAATGCATATTTTTATTTTTTTTTTTGACTTTTTTTATCATTCAAACATCAAACATCGACACTAAGCTTATGTAATTATTTTAATGCAGTTAAATGTAGGTTCTTTTAATTTTTGGCAGTGATTTTGCTACACACACAAAAAATTATACAAAATATCTTAAGCTTACGCTTTGGGATAATACATCATACACGAACGTGGCGAGGAARAGCTTTGGAAGCGTGTGCGAGCTTCTATGTYGGAAACAGTTTTTAAACTTAAGTAAAAAATTTTTAATTTTTGTTAGTATTCACACTAAATGTACTGAAAATGAATTCATTTTCAAAGGTTTATGAATCTTGTAAGAGAAGATTCATTTGAACTGTATAAAAGCTTTTTTTCAAAATATTTACTGCTGTCTCTTATACACATCTAGATGTGTATAAGAGACACTGTATAAAAGCTTTTTTTCAAAATATTTACTGCTCTGAACTGAGCCTGTCACTTATTGACATGTGCGTCTTAAATCTCATTATTACAAACCTTTTCAATTTATTTTTGTGTATTTTGAGATTTTTGTGAACTTTTATTTGACAATTTTTGAGGACTTGAACSTAGCTTTCATTTTATTGATTTTTTACCACGATTTAGCGTTCAATGTTCGCCTCATGAAAGCTTGAAGTGGTTTAAAGTAACTTTTGTGATGTACGACTTCATTATATGAGCGAATATGGCTTACGAATGACTTACGAAGCATTTTTGAAATAGGTTTAYTAAATAAAAGGTGGTCTCAATAAAATAATGAACAAGGAAATATCTGCAATACTTTCCYTTRTAACATAAGCGCTTTATGCTCATGRGCTTAATGTTTCTAAAATATAAAAAAGTGCAAGCGCAGATTTCGCACACAATTTCAAATCTTTTCATCGCCAAAAGATCGCATACAAATAGTTTTAATTTCTCTTGCCGTTTTCCTTATGTTCTCTCCACTTATTAACTAAAGCAGCGTGCAAAGCATTCTTACATTTTCCTAAATATAAACAGTGAACAGTACTAGCGCAGATCGTGCCCTGCACTCGCTATGATACGCTTCTATATACAGTTAGCTTTTAATAATACCCGGCGAAAGACCTAGCAGAAAGTACATTTTATTTAATTAAATACACTAATTTATAATACCAAGTTAATAGTTAAATATGTTCTGCTTCGCGCTTTCAACTGATAAACCAAGCGCAACAAAGACAATAAATCTAAGTAAGGATAAATTTTAGTTACAATAATTATGTTTAATTTTTAATGATAATTGCAATAATAGTACTAATAAAAAATTGCTTTACTTTGGTAAAATTCATCATTTGTTCCGTGTACTCAATACGCAAAAGCTTTCATCGAGCTTTATGCGGGAGAGCTTTTAAGCACTTAAATATTTTGTTTAAATAAAAATTTATTATTTTATAAGTAAACGAAATACAATTACGACTAAAAGGCGAAAATTATGTTTAAGCTCTTAAAGAATTGTGTTATTTTATTTWATTTAATTTTTTGTTTGTGTTGTCGCTAAATTTAATTGTATGCGTGAATTAAAGCAGCATTATTGGCGTCGCACACCGGAATTTCACTTTCTCATTAATCCGAATGTTGCTTCTGCCTAATAGACACAAGCAAAATGAGAAATACTATTTGTTCCAGAATTATCCTAAACTTAACAGTGACTTACAGAAACGAACATTCCTCATAATTTACGTAACAAATTTGGTAGTGTGTCTTGCGCGTCGCTTTTACTGAAATGCAATTTAGTTAGTTGAATTACTCAGTGTGTTGTGTGTGTGCGTTTTCTTCTAAAACTAATTTTAAATTTCTAAGCTATTTAATTTTGCATGTTTTGCGTGTTGATGGCACAATATCATTATTTTTGTTTTTATTTTTATAATATATAAGGATCTATTTTTTTCATTTTGTATGTTTTCGCTTATTGCTTATGCTTGTCAACGACTAATTTTAGTGTGTATGCTTTTTTATGATTTATTCTTTTTTTTTTTTTTTGCTTTAAACTAGTTACTCTGCTACATATGTACTGCTTGTCAGCTAGTCTCAATACATTTGCACTTTTGCTGTTTTTTGACGATACATTTTCAGTTTGCTCACTTCATGCGTCATGTTTACTCAGTTGTTGCTTCATTTGTTGTTTGTTGTAAAYTGTTTTTACATGTGGCGCTTCATATGCAACGCCAAGTGGTCCGATCTCGAGAAGCAGCGATCACAGTTGCGGCATTTGAAAGGTTTGGCGCCCGTGTGTTTGCGGTAATGACGCGTCAACTCGTCGCTGCGTGCGAAGCGCCATTCACACCCCTCCCAGGAGCATTTGTACGGTTTTTCGCCTGAAAATTTTGGAAAAAAAAWTAAAAAATATGTAATCAGTTTCTAGATAGTTTTCAATATTATAGGGAATGTTAATATGAATAGAATTGAGTTTTTTTTATGGAATTTCACGTATAAACTTGCAATACCATACTTAAAGAGCTTTCTTGTAATCATCCTTCAGTTTCTCAAAATCGATTTGAAAAACGTATTGTATGTGATATTGGTGACAATAACAGGTTTCTTTCACACTCTACTTACAAAGAAAATACAAGAAAAAATCCCTTCATAGTTAGAAATGCTTCTATACAACAGCTTGTTTGTGATCGGCTAGTTTGTAAGGCAGTTAAATAATTGTRCGATCTGAACAATTTCTCTAGAAATTATAACGTTACCTTGGGCAATAATTCATGCTACAAAAACTGACGGACTAGTACGCTTCTCTGTATAGACGGACATGACTAAATCGACTCAGCTCCTCGTYMTGATCACTACATTATGCAATATATGGGGTMTTCGATGTTYCTTMTGGGTKTTACAAATTTCGTGGCAAACTTAATATACTTGTAGAGGTTATAAAWGGCCTGGATATATCATGAACCACTTACTAAGTAATGAAAACAAAACTGGGTATTTCCAGTACTTATCTTTATCATATCTGGAGGAAGGTTAGGTGGATTGCCCTCCACATCAACGAACAGAAGCCCTAGACAACGAGCTGTTTCTTTGAATGCAGGACTTATGTTGGATTTGTCATAGTTGAGTGAACATAAATCCATTAACAAATTGAAAAATCTCTCTATCTCTCTCTCTCTCTCTCTCCCTCTCTCTCTCTGCCTCTCTACCTTTTGATACTTCATATATATACAAAGTGAATTGGAGAGTACTAAAGCGCTGCAAAATGCTAATTTTATGAAGAAGTTGAACAATTTTTTGAACGTTATCAATACTTTCACAAAATGCCAAAAGTCGGACAGCAAGCCCCGCTTTTAACGTAAATGCAAAGATGAGGAAATTACTGTGCCAAGAAGCTACTAGAATTCTCGATGCACGCATTATATCTATGCTAATGCWGCGCTTAAGAAATGTCCAATGTTGACGGGTGCTTAAAAGCCACATTTTCTGTTGACTAAATACACAATCGCAACCTCAGCTGTCATACGTTGCCTTACCTCGCTCCTCTCTTCGAAAATGAAACGTATTAAAATATAATTGTGAAACTTTGAATGTATTTTTAGCTCTTTTACTTTTCGATTCATAAGTGCAGCAGCAAAATGTAAAATAATGTTTGGAAAGTATGTTAAACAAAAACAAAATTCTGATGCAACACAAAATGAAGAAAGTTTTCGCATTTCGCTAGCAAAATATGCGCCGACATAAAGCAGAAACAGTGAAAGAAAACAGTGCTTTGCTTTCTGCTTCAGTACATCGGTAAGTTCTCTAAGAAATCTGCATCCATACATACATAGTATACGCAACAGTAAACAAAACAAATATTGAGAGAACAACAAACACAATAACAATCGCAATGGGCGCAGTGAACAAAAGCTTCATAGCTCAAGTAACGACAAAGTAAATTAAAATAAAATTGTAAGAGATGCTGAACAACTGCGAAACAATTAAACAAAACAAAAGAATTATTACTTACAAGAAAGTCAAATATTTGCAGCAGGAGTAACTAGCACGAAATGGAGTATGACAGTGAGCCATAATTTGCTGCAAAGAATATTACAAGTTGGAAACGCAAAGAAATATGGGAAGCATACAGCTGGCAGCTGCGGAAGAGAGCTTACAATATATATATCCGTATTTTTATACCCTGAACAGGGTATATTGAGTTTGTCACGAAGTTTGTAACACCAGAAGGAAGCGTCCTATACCCTATAAGGTATATATATATAAATGATCAGTATGTCGAGCTGAGTCGATTTAGCCATGCCTGTCTGTCTGTCTGTATATATACGAACTAGTCCCTGAGTTTTAAAGATATCCTTTTGAAATTTTGCAAACGTCATTTTGTCTTCAAGAAGTTGCTCATTTGTCGGAACTGCCGTTAGAGGACCACTATAACATATAGCTGCCATACAAACTGAACGATCGGAATCAAGTTCTTGTATGGAAAACTTTCACATTTGACGTGTTATCTTCACGAAATTTGGACTAATGCTTGAGGTAATTATATAGTCTCCAAAAAAAATTTTCAACACGGATTACTATAGCATAAAGCTTCCATACGAACTGAACACATAGTTACTAACAGGAATGCACCAGTGAAGGGTATTTGGCTTCGGTGCAACYGAAGTTAACGTTTCTTTCTTGTTTTTTTATAAACATATAATCAAATATATAAAATCATAGTTAAAACTCTCATTTAAGCTTGTTCTTGAAAACAAAACTTCGAATACTTAACACTAAGCTAGATTCTTAAGTATGTAGAAGCTTACAACGACAAATTGGAATACTTTAAATACATTCTAAATAGACAAATGATAGAAGAAAGCGACGACTTGATTAACCAATAAATTATTGAACGAAAAATGTCGAAAAATTACAACATTTTTGTCAAATAATGATAAGTGAATATTGGTTGGTTAGCGACTGGTTGACTGGCCGTATACGGAAAGTCTGACTATTAGTAGTCAGAAGTTTACGCTAAGTGCAATTAAACAACTCCCAATCTTTCATTTTTCTAAAAGAAAGTGCTCAATTCCTTTAAGGTTGAATCGTGAACCATTAAAACGTCTATAGAAGGTATTATAGGAAGATGGATGGAATGCTCAGTTGTCACAATTTATTAGCGGTACACGCCTGTAGAATAGGACTGACACATAGAGAAGACTASAGGAAATGTCAASAGCAAGACACCTTCGAGCATTCGRAAATCTAGTCTGAGTCTTAGCAAACCTTCCTGATTTATATTAAAAGTTCAGTAGCATTTCCCTAAGCTATTTGACATAGGCTAGCATTTTTTATAATAGATAAATACGTATATGGTTCATATATGGTATGTACATATATATGGAAACTAGCGGTGTTTGAAAAGCCAACTTATCACAGCTGCGTCAGTAATATTGTTTTATGGTTCTTGAGCCTTGTAAAGATGCTAACTTCCAAGTTAATGCGCTCAGACTCAATTTTTATATTATAAATTTTCATTTAAATTCGAGAAATATTTTGCTCATTTAGTTTGCTTCTCTTTCTCATGGCTTACTGTTCATATTCCACTGTGGCATTCATTTCACTTCCGGTACACATTTTAACAATGTGCTGCTTCCGGCGCTGGTGTAACGCACAGATCACAAAAAAGTGAGTCAAGAAAGTATTTGAACGGAAGAAGTGTGTTAAAAATCAGTACACATAATTTATTAATGCGTCCTTGGAGCATTTGAATATTTTGTGAAGGGGCCAACAATACCAGTACAGAATTTTGCTTACATCAGTATAYAAGTTAAAAGTGCTAAAAGTTTTTYAAAGGTTGATTAGCACAGTCATTTTCTGTGAAGGAGGTGCTTTTGTGAAAACGAAGCTTGATGAAGCTCAAAATTTTGTCACAGCAGCCAATTTAACTCCTCCAATACCCAATTGATATCGAAATGCTCAACAATAAACTCTGAAGTCCATTGACGTCCATAAAATGAAAGGTATTGGATGAAATAGCCAAAGCGCGTTTCTATCGGCAATTATAACCRTTGCAACGGTTTACTAATCCGCCCAATGAAACCTACAATTCGGACGATTTATGACGGATTTCGCAGTTCAAGGAAATGKCGTTAAATGCGCAGATCGCGCTTTACACTCAGATATTACTACAAAAGCCGCTTGCAACAACGTCAACCACAACTTTCCAAATCCTCCGCCCAACTTACACGCAGATAATGCCAACTAGTTTTGCCATTCATTTTCGGCCATTTCAATTACTTAAGCGTCGAAGCGACTATAAAAATGCCAAAAAGGAAAATCGTTAGGGAAAGATTACAAATGCAGTCAAGTGAAAGGACACAAATAGACCATAAAAATGAGAAAATCCGACAACAGCAACATGAATGACAAGCGCTAYTTACTTACTTACGATTGTAGGACAAGCGGTCRAAACCAGCGCGAACAAGTAAATAAGCGTCGGATGAGTGTTGCGAGYAAGTAGCAGCTTCGCAACCGCTATATCCGCCTCAAGCTTACAGCRCAACAAAAGCCAAATATGCGCGCAAAGTAAGTTAGTGGCCRGAATGAGTGGAGCAGCATTAAAAAYGGTGGCGCRGCGGCAGAAAGTGTGGCAAGCGAAATGTTGCGGTAATAGAAAATTCACCAAAAGAAAATTAAAAATTCTTTTAGAGCTAAGACAAAGGAGGCGGCCGCCTAAGTGCTGCTATGTAACGCAAGTTGCTTAACGTGGCGCATACACGGATACAGAGAGGGCGCGCAGCTGGCTGAGTGCGGCAAAAGGCGGGTTAACTGTATGTTTTATAAAATATTGACATTGCAGAACAAGTAAAGTGGAACGAAGAGATAAAGTAGCTAAAGYATTGCACAGTAAGTTTATAAACGAAAAATGGGGTTGMAGGAAAAGGAGATAGAGTTTCATATGATGTTATTAGCTAATAACCACCTAAATTAATTTTTGGTTTGAGAAAAAAAAAAAAATGCATTATACAAAAGTTAAGCAAAAAAATAAGCTATTCACGACAAGTTTTTTTCGAAAGCAGCTAATATTTTCAGCAAAACAAAATATTACTATGGAATTTAATGAGATAACCTAAATTTGTTCAATAAAACCCAAAATATAGCGATCCGATAAAATATGTACAAGTATTTACTAGCGTGTGGACATATTTAAGTTTTTCAAACATTTTTTCTTTGGCAATAATATTTCTAACTAACTAAAATTTAATTCTGAATTAAATAGTTTTGGCAACTAGTTGTATGCTATAGTGGCTCCATCTAAACAATTTCTTCCTAGGCTGTACCGTTGTCTTGGAAGATATCTCGTCAAATRAAAAATATTTCTWCATAAATACTTGATTCC